TTAGGAGGTCTACCAGCAAGGCCGTAAGAACATACAAGAAGCCATGTTGGATCAGTCCGATGGCCCATCCAGTCCAACACTTTGTGTCACACAGTGGCCAAAACCCAGGTGCCATTCGGAAGTCCACCAGCAGGGCCATAAGAACATACGAGAAGCCATGTTAGATCAGTCCGATGGCCCATCCAGTCCAACACTCTGTGTCACACAGTGGCCAAAAACTAGGTGCCATTAGGAGGTCCACCAACAGGGCCATAAGAACATACGAGAAGCCATGTTGGATCTGGCCGATGGCCCATCCAGTCCAACACGCTGTGTCACACAGTGGCCAAAAACTAGGTGCCATCAGGAGGCCCACCAGCAGGGCCAGAAAAGATGGAGATGGTTCAAACCGGTGTATGTGATCCTTCTGTGAATCTGTTTGTTTAGATATTCATACCCCCGTTTCCTCTTTAGTGGGGACCCAAAGCAGTTCACAATGTCATTTTCCTCTCCTCTATTTTATCCTCACAAGAACCCTGTGAGGTAGATCAGGCTGACAGACGTTGTGACTGGCCCAAGGGCATCCAGCGAGCTTCCTTGGCAGAGCGGGATCTGATCCCAGGTGCTCCAGAGCTAAGGTTCCCAACTTCCAGGTGAGGCCTGGAGTTCTTCTGGAAGACTGTAGAGATCTGTTCCCCTGGAAGAAATGGCAGCTTCAGAGCGAAGACTGTATGGCATATCACAGAGTCTAGGAGCAACGAAAGCCTTAGAGTAACGCTACATCCTCACTGAGCTTGTGCCTCTCCCAAAGCTCTATCCTCCCCAGGTACCACCCCCAAATCTCCAGGAATTTCTCAAGCCGAGGGGGCAACCCTACCCAGACCCTCACTCCAGCAGTCTAACCGCTACCCATGCTGATCTGGAGCAGCTTGTCAGACCGACCGTCCTCCGGCTCTGATTGCCAGCGAGGCTGAACACTTACCTTCTTTCGTCTTTTTATGTTCCCCTCGCTCCTTCTGTAAGGATCGTTCTAGCCGGGATCTGTGTTCATAAACAACTAGAGGAGGGGGAAAAGAGAAGGGGGGGTGGAAATCAGTCTCTGATCATTCCATACAAGTGGTATTTTTTGAGTGTGCAACAAAGCTATCCTTTTTTTTTGTCTGCTCGCCTTCCTAGGAGCTCAGCATAGGGGTCAGTGCTCCCTCTAAGCTGTGGAGTCTTGTGAGCAAAAATTCTACTTTGTGAGCGACTTGGCATTAAAGTTGTGAGCGAGCGATTTGGCTACTGCATACATTAGTTTGCTCTGGAGCCCCATCCTTCCTGAGCTAAGAGAAAAATGTGTGAGCTGGAGGCTAGAAAACTGTGAGCTAGCTCACACTAACCCAGCTTAGCAGGAACACTGGTAGGGATGCCAGCCTCCAGGTGGGGCCTGGGGATCACTTGGAATGACAGCTCATCTCCAGACTGCAAAGATAATTTCCCCAGGAGAAAAGGGATGCTTTGGTGGGTGGACAGTATGGCACTGTACCCCGCTTAGGGTCCCTGTCCTCCCCAGGCTCCACCCCCAAATCTCCCTACCCGCGCCTCCCTCTGTCAGTGCCCAAGGGGGAGCCAGCAACCCTAGCTCAGGGAGGCACAGATGCTTTCTTCTATCATGTTTACAACAGCCCTGCCAGGTAGGTGAGGCCAAGGGAGAACAAATTGGCCCAAAGTCACCTCTGTAATTGCACTATGCCATGCAAAGGAAAGCGAACGATGCCCCTAAACAACTTACACAAACCAAGCACCTTTTCAGAATTCTTTTGTACCAGTCAGGCGTGATTTAAACATAATGCCCATTGAGGCGAAAGCTGTTATTTGGGGCAGAGGGGTGGGATTTTGGACTCACAAAAGGGTCTTGTTTAGACCCCTGCTTCGTTTTTCCCACTGATGTCGTTGCAAAGGCAAATCGGTAGGGCTGCCAACCTCCAGGAGGGGTCTGGAGATGCCCAGCTATTGCAATTGATTCCCAGGCAATCGAGATCAGTGTCAGCTAGGCCTCCGGCCTGGCTGTCATGAAGATGGGGGGATGCTTTCGAATGATGAGTTTCATTTCTGCTGTGCCTACACTGGGTTTATTATCTGTCTTCTGTGCAGGGGTCATTTCCTGCAGTAGCGCACAGGAGTGGAGCTCCGGCAGTAAAGAGCCCAGGGGGTGGGCACAGGCAACAAGCCCCACCCCCTGCTCCCAGCAGCCCTCAGTCAGAGCAAGAAGCAGCCAGGTAAGTTGCAGAGCTCCCCCCGGCCCCCCAGTTCAAAACAGTCCAGTGGCACCTTTAAGAGCAAGTTTTATTCAGGTACAAGCTCTCCCTCCTCTGTGAGGACAGATCTGCACGTCCCCCCCCAATAGCTAGCAATCCAAAACAGTCCAGTGGAGCCTGAGCGGCGGGTGTTGCCTTCTGACACACTTCCAGTGATGTTAGGGGGTGTGGCATATGCAAATAAGTTATGCTAATGAGTTACACTAGTGAGCTCCTGCACCTCTTTTTCAACGAAATGATCCCTGCTTCTGTGTTCTAGGACCTTGAGTGCCTGGTGTAGTCTTTCTCCTGGGAAATGTTACCCATTACTTTGGCGGGCTTCTGCTCACCGCCTGATTGGCCGGGGGCCATCAGGGGACCCCTTTATGTATATCTATTTGCTTCGCACGCTTTCTCTTTAGTCCTGACACAAAATAGTTATGATACCTGCAGCACTACTGTCTCAACAAACTTCACTTCTTTGAATGAACACCCTTGGGAACTGACACTCAGTTCTCCTGGAGAAGACGGCTGCTCTGGAGCGTAGACTTGACGCCATTGGATCCCACTGAAGCCCTTGCCCTCCCCAAACCCCGCCCTTCCCTGGCTCTACCCCCCAAATCTCCTGTTATTTCCCCACCCAGAACTGGCAGCCCTCCAAACTGGAAGCTGCAAAGAGTTGTTGGGGGGGGGCATCCACCAAAGGCAAGAAAGAAAGCAAGGAGTTCTGCAATGGGGGGGGAGGCGTCCCCCTCACAGTACCAGTTTTTCACTCAGAAATGCTCAGCGCGCAAACATGTGCTAGGGCACAAGCCGAGACAGGGCCTTTGCCTGGCGCAACCGAGCACGCAGACAGCTACGGCTCTGCCCAGAGAGCAATAAACGTCCCCCAGAGCCAGGAAGAAATCAGATGCTTTCCAGAAAGCGCGCTTGCCAGGATGAAGGAAATACTTCTTTTCACAGCGAGCGATGAAAACGGGGGATTCGCTGCCAGAGGATGTGATGGCCAGAGGCACAGACAGCTTTAAAAGGGGATTAGACAGCTTCATGGAGGAGGGGGTCTATCCGTGGCCACTAGCCATGGGGGGAGCTAAAGGGAACCTCCACATTCAGAGCTCGTAGACCCCTGAATACCAGTGCCAGGAGGAAACATCAGGGGGGGAAGGCCTGTGATGTGTGAGACAGGATGACGCCCTTGTGGGAGGGCGTTAGCTGACGGTCGGACGTCCTGGTCAAGGCTTGTAAGGCGAAACAGCTTCTCGGCTACGAAAAGAACTCCTGCAATGGATGTTCCGGCCAGGTGGTGGCAGTGTGGCGATTGACATATGGGTCCTGAAGCCTGGTCAGCAAGCAGCCGTGCGGGAAAATGACGGAGCCAGCCAGAAGATGTCTACACCGGGCAGTGACGGCGCGTGCAATTAAAATGAATATATGTTGTCTTCCCTCTCCCCTACAAACATTGTTAGTCCCTTGTCTATATTGAGTAACTGTACATCGCTTTGAGCCCACTGGGGAAAGCGATTAATAAATGGAAAGTATTATTATTATTAATGACGGACTAGAATGGACCATGGGTCTGATTCAGCACGGCTGAATCCAAAATCCTGATTTCCCTGTCACTCCGTGAGCTACGGGACCACCAGCTTGGTTCTGTCGAGGCTTCCTCCTTTGCGGCATGAAAGCACGGCTGCCATTCAACCAAGGTGTTGTATTTAGGCTTGCCAATCTCCAGGCGATAGCCGGAGAGCTCCGGGGATTGCAGCCGATCTCCAGGCGACACAGATCTGTTCCCCTGGAGAAAATGGCCGCTCTGGAAGGTAGACTCTATGGCATCATACCCCGTCGAAGTCCCTCCCCTCCCCAAACCCCGCCCTCCTTCGGGTCCTCTCCCCAAATAGCCAGGTATTTCCCAAGTCAGAGGTGGCGACCCTCGTTGCTTTCCACGCTCCTGCCAAGTTCACGCCGGAAGTTGACTCCCGGCATCTTCCCCTGTCTCTTAGGTTAATTCATGCAATCAGCTTTATTGCAGGTTGAATGTATTAACGTAGTGTAGGGGTCATTTCCTGCAGGAACGCACAGGAGCAGAGCTCCGGCAGTAAAGAGCCCAGGGGGCGGGCACATGCAACAAGCCGCACCCCCTGCTCCCAGCAGCCCTCAGTCAGAGCAAGAAGCAGCCAGGTAAGCTGCACAGCCCCCCGGGGCCCCGGTCCAAAACAGTCCAGTGGCACCTATAAGACCAAGTTTTATTCAGGTACAAGCTCTCCCTCCTCTATGAGGACAGATCTGCACGCCCCCCCCCCCAATAGCTAGCAATCCAAAACAGTCCAGTGGAGCCTGAGCGGTGGGTGTTGCCTTCTGACACACTTCCGGTGATGTCAGGGGATGAGGCAGGCATATGCAAATAAGTTATGCTAATGAGTTGCGCTAATGAGCTCCCGCACCTCTTTTTTTTACGAAATGACCCCTGATGTAGTGTGATTTAGTTAGCAGATTCCCACATCAGCTCGAACTCTGGACATTCAGGACCAATACTCCCAAGCACTCCGGGCATTAGAAAAGGTGAAAACAAGATGTTGATTTTATTTTATGTCTTCATTTCTGTCGATTTCTATTCTGCCCTCCCTGCCAGTGGGCTTAGGGCGAATCGCAAGCAAGTGTTGAGCCATTCAGCTCATCACAATGAGCAGAAACACCAACAGAATAATGAAAAAGGTCAAAACAACATGATTTAAAACAAGTCACACTATCCATGTACGTGCACAGTCTCCAAAAACTGGCACCGCTGGGCCTCTGAGGTCTTCACCTGGGCCGTGTGCAGGTAGTAAAACTACCAAAAAAAAAGCTTTGTCTCTTCTTTGAAACGTGGGGTACAAAGGCTTGGATGCTGCCAGTTTTTCTGCAAGGAGGTACCCCTTGTAACTACCCTAGGATCAGGGGTCGTTTGGTAGAAAAAGAGCTAGGGGAACTCATTAGCATCACTCATTAGCATATGCCACA